GATCCGCACCGAGATGCTGGAGAAGCGTTCCATGAAGGTTCGTAGAGGTTCATCGTCATTCTGCCTGAGGTTGGCCAAAGCGGTCGAGGTTGTGTGATGAGGTCGGCTTGTGGCGTATTGCGCCATGAATCGCCGGACCAGGGTGCTGAAACTGTCGATGGATCCGGCGGGTAGCTGGGTGTACTAGTGGAGTGCGACTCCTTTGAGCGAGGTCGGAAAAACCCTACACAGGATAGCGTCACTGTTAGTGTAGAGGTTCACCTGGGTTGTGTACAGGTCAATGTGCTCATCAGGGTCCGTCGTGCCGTCATAGCGGTCGAGGTGGAGAGGTTTCCATCCACGAGGGAGTGGGGTCTCCATGATGCCGTCCACAAAAGGATGTCGACGGAAGGTTTCTTGGCCTTCTATGGCATGAGTGGGCATGCATATTGCGCAGGTCAGCATCGTGCTGTTGTCGCATCTGTTCGACTTGATCGATTAGTCTCCTCAACGCTGCTTCGTTATCCATGGTGGTTGAGTGGTTTGCGTCGTCTGTTGTGCGTCTACTATTGGTTCTGGAGAAAACCATACAGGTGACCGATAAGAGCTGTCTTGATCGACCCCACGGTGGGCGCCAAATGTTCTTACCGGAAATCTGCCGTAGAGGTGATTCACCAGGTAAGATCGGTGAGCCTCCTTCACTGGTACGTTGGTGCTCCAAGATGGGGGTGGTACCTGCAAAAGAGACTTCGATGCTAAAGTTAGTGTTTGTGTGAGTATTAGTCTCGTATAAGTAATGCACGTACCTAGGTGTGAATTAGGGTTGCTTTGAGCTTTGGGCCTGAGATGAGGTGTAATATGATTAGATAACGGACCTCGTCCGGGGCGAGATCCTCGGGGATCAGTTATGATTTGCTTAAGTACCGAGCTGATGTCACGCGGTGCGTGTCCGAGGTTAGCTTGCGTTATGGTGCCGAGCTCGGAGCTCGGTTACGTAGTACGGATTGTACAGTACGTTTTAAATAATTATTTTGTACATATTAAGCAAGTATTTTTATTAGCATTATGGAGGTGGGTAGAGCTGCGGTTGAGGCAGTTAGACCGGTGGTCTCTCAGGCAGAGTTCAGGAGATGTTAGCTTCTTCAGTTCAAATGGGATTCAGATCTTGATGTGGCATATTAGTGGTTGTGTGAGCGGTTACGTAGTACGGATTGTACAGTACGTTTTAAATAATTATTTTGTACATATTAAGCAAGTATTTTTATTAGCATTTTAAATAATTATTTATATATTTTAAAGGATAATTTAGGAGTTGACTAATTATATATTTTATTATAAAATCTAAAAGGTTGATTTTATAGGATATTTTGATATTGAAATTATATTATTATATTTTGGGTCAGAAATATATTATTATTATTATAGAGGGAAATATTTTATATTATATATATTTATTTTATTTAATTATTTTGGGGAAAGAGAAGAAGGTCGAGAAAAGAAGGAAAATGGGTTAGGTTGACCCAGCCTAGGGGATTATTTTTAAGAAAGGGGTTAGGCAGAGTTAACCATATTTACCTCATTTTGCGTTCTAAAGGGTCAGGAGAGAAATAAATGAGAAGGGAAGATCTCTAAGGAGGAGTGTTCTGGCAGTGCTTGGAAATGATTTCCAAATGGCATTAGAATATTTGGATTAACGCAACTAGGTATGAGGGAAAAGGAAAAATTTATATGTAGAGTTACGTGAGAGAATGAGTAGAGGAAGAATCCCTTAGGATTTTGAATGATTTCATAATTATTTATGTTTAGAGAATTAATGGTCATATTAAATTCTATGTATGTTTATAAGTATGAATCTGTAAAGAATTGTTAAAAATGATGATCTAGGAGGGAGAACAAAATTGTGTAAAAAGTGCCTATAGGTTAAGTCTTTAGGAAATTGAGGGTTTTGCCAATTAAGGTATGATTTTATAAAATTGATAATATAGGTTATGTTTTAATTTAATAATAAGCAATTTAACTGATTATAATCTTGAAATAAAGTATTGTATGTTTTGGTTTGACGATACATGTTAGTTATGATTGTTCGCAATTCTAGGAAATTGTGTGGGCCTTAAGTAGAGTTCTCCACATCGAGTGTAAATTCATGAATTGGGAACATTGTTCCTAGTGACTACTTGTAATTGTGGATGACATGATGAAAATTAATTGGTGAATTGCATGGGATATGAGTATGACTTATTATTTTGAGGTGTTAAGTTGATTGTATATGTGACTTGGAATTGAGATGTGGATTGTGGTATGATGTCTTGACATGTATGTCGGTGTGGCATGACACTGAGCATATGACGCTACAACAGTGGCGTGAGCATGACATAGTGCAAGATGTGTGACAATTAGCACATATGTCAGCGTGGCACGATGCTAGGCATGTAATGTCACAACGGTGGCGTGAGCATGGCATAGTGTAAGATGTGTGTGGCAATTAGCACATATGTCGGTGTGGCATGACATTGGGCGTGTGATACGATAACAATGGCGTGAGCATGACATGGTGCTAGTTGTGTGATGTAGTGGATATAGGTGATGTGTGTACATATATGATTTGAGATTTGATGATGGAAATTATTGATTGGATATAGACAAAATTGCACATGTCTAAATGTTGGAACTGTGATTTTATATTGTATAGTATTAAACTATATTGTGGAATTTCTTGGTGTGCTTTGTATATAAATGTTTTCTTTTCTCACCGTATATTTTGTTGTTATTTTTAGGTGAGAAAGATTCGGATATGAGTGACACCTAGGATGCTAATAGCTTAGTCATGAGTGTGCTCTAATAGTGTGACATCAAGGCAATGGTTTTCTAGAAATGAAGTTTATTTGTATTTGGAGTTATATTGATCTTTTTTGGAACATTTATTGAACTTTTATTATTTTAAAATTCAATTTTAAAATCAGTTGGTTATTGAAGTATATTTATGAAGGATTTATTTGAACCATTTTACCTTTATTAAAAATTTATTTCTTTATTCCTTTATATTATTACAATATATGTGTTGAAGTAAAATGGGTGTCACATTGTTCATTGAAATCCAACAAGAAACAGACAAGCTCCAAGGTGTGGAACTGGTGGGCACAAACATCATTAACATAGCACAGTGTTATGCAATTTGTGGAGTGTCAACTTGATACATATTAAGCAAGTATTTTTATTAGCATTTTAAATAATTATTTATATATTTTAAAGGATAATTTAGGAGTTGACTAATTATATATTTTATTATAAAATCTAAAAGGTTGATTTTATAGAGCCATGTCAAGAGGCTTTTCCAAGAGTTGAAAAAAATACTCATCATTACCCCTATTATTCAACCACCAGATTAGGAACTTTCCTTTGAGCTTATGAGTGATGCATCCAAATACCTGTTGAAGAAGTCTAATGCTAAAATTGAGATTGACTAGATGAATGTTTCTTCTTCAAAAGTTTGATATTAGGATTAAATACAACATTGGTGTAAAGTGTCATAAAAGATGGCTTATCTAAGAGCATGGGTGAATTGGATATTAAAAAAATTATTTCTAAATCTTCTTGGTTTAAAAACTTTTCTAAAACTTTTTAATGAAGTATATTGACATATAGTTGCATATAGGATATGTTGTTGAGATTATCTTATACATGCAACATCAAATTCAATTAGTTTTATATGCAATGTTCATGTTTGATGTCATACAATATTAAACATATAATTAGATTTGCAAAAATATAAAGACAAGTGAAAGGATAGAGAAAAATTCACAACAAATTTATAATGGTTAGCCACATCCACTTGTGACCTACATCTAGTCCCCAATCAATTCGATTGAGATTTTTCACTAATCTGTAATGTCCGAAGTTTTATAATCACAATACCATATGCAACACACTTCTACACATCTAAAGAAAACACTTCTTGCACCCCAAGAAGCAATATCTTGTAACACTTCACTACAAAATTTCCTTTCTCCTAAGAAACCTACTTAAGAAAAATAGTTATAGAGATTAAAGAACGAATTCACCTAATACAGAGAACATTTCAGAGTAGGTGAATCAAACCAATGTAGCTTAGCCTATATATCTAATGAAGATGATGACAATCAATTCAATTCTTGAATTCTTTCTTGAGGTTCCCGCAAAGGGTATCAAACCTCTTCTTGTAGAGAGAAATGCTTTTTAGAGAATATTTTTAAAATTAATATCACAAAGATTCTTGTTCTTTGAGTTCTAAATGTGAAAAATGATATGTAGAGTTTTCTGATAGAAATAATCAATTATTTTTATGCACAATTGATTATTTTGTTCTTTATAGATCTGAAAAATAACTAAGAGAAGTTTAATCGATTATTTTGGGTGATAATCAATTATTTCAGAAACCTATTTCTGAAATAATTGATTACTTTGATGAATAATCAATTATTACAACAAAGTTTCTCAAGTTACTGAAAAATAGAATAAATAATTGATTATTACATAAGATAATTGATTATTTTAAGTGAAAACTTAACATCTCGATTTTTCATACTACTTCTCTTTTCAAATCATTTTTAAAACTTCTTTTCATCATCAAACACCATCTAGATAGAGATTTACATATAAGTTACCTATAAAGCACAAAGTACACAAGCAACAAAGCTTAAAAACATAACAATATACAATTTGCACCTTTATCACTCAAGAGGCATATATTTGTAATCATCAAATAAATGCAACATGCCTTCATCTTGAGCTTGACCAACATAGAGAACATGGCAGCTGACCATTTGAGCAGGATTGAGGGGAAGAGGATTGATCCCTGTCGCCACCCGCCGAAACGGACCTTGGCATTCGCGACGATGGTCGGACTCTTTTTAAGTTTTGAGAAATGATGGATTGTTAGAACGACTTATTCTCAAACTGAGACCTCATCGAACTAACAATTTTATTAAATGATTCACCAATCCATGTTAATCCCAAGCGGGACCCTCCATGGATTAGTGGTTTTCGCAAAAAGAAGGGTTCTTGGAGTCGCCACCAATGTTTTACTCAAAACATTGGAAAAAGGGATAAGGCAATTGATTTTCGCAAATCAACCTTGGCCATTACAACCAGAGTTGGGTAAGGGAGTCGGTTACGTGCGGGGAAGGTGTTAGCACCCCACAACGCCCCTTTCGGGTTCCCTATGACGGATTATTTCATAAATAACAGTGTAAAATTACTAAATTACCCCTATTTATTAG